TTTTGGGAAACAATTCGAAACACTCCAAAAACATTGTTTCATAATTTTTACTGGCTTTTAAACGTTTTTTCCTAATTCTTTTTTTATCTTATTTTTTTGTTAATTTCAATGGAAGTGATGGAAAATTAGCGGCTTTGAATTGGCGTTCTAATGTTAAGTAATTGTTTAACTTTGAATTTTAATTAAAGACACTCAATTTTAGCGACAGTTGTCAAATATTAACACATCATCATCAAAAAAGACAAAAAAAACATGGCGATGGTGTTTGTTCCAGTGTTAAGTTTGGAGGGTGAAACCTCGTTCTTTCCGTCTATCCAACCCTTCAAAAGGATGAATTTTGTTAAATTTTTTGTACATTAATTTAAGCTGTGATGATGTGGCGACTTAAAAAATTGACAATTTAGTTGTCAATGTGTTGAAAATATCTAAAATAAAAACAAAAAACGACAAAAATAGGTCAGTTGAGTTGGAAAACAACAACACTCTTTGGTGTGAAATTGACATCATTAGTCAACTCTTTCTGCTTGGCGGTGTAAGTGTCTGGTTTGCAATAACTCCCGTTTACACCTTTCTTGTGCACACCTATATCATGACCAGCACCAAATCCAAAAAGATAAGGTTCGTTTTGAGCCCTAAGATAAAATTCGTTAGTGTCATTTTCACTTTTTTCAAACTTTTTTGGATTCAAAGTGCCATTTCTCACAAGTGAAAAAATGTACGAACTGCCACCTTTGAGATATTCACTAACTTTATTAATATATCCAGTAAACACGCCACCAAATTTGTTGTGATTACAGTCTTCTACCACAAAGCACAAGTTGCATTTGTTCATGACTTTTTCACCGAACACAGATGTACCTTTTGACCAATCGTCCTTGTCTGGATCAAACACTACACTTCCTATTTTGTACCCCGTCAATATTTCAAGACACGATTTTTCGTCAAGTGTGAGGTGTTCGCGTTTTTCATTTTCAACTTCTTCGTCGTGTTGTCTTTTCGCATTAATAAATTTCTCTGATTTTTTTATTGTTTCAACTTTAGTGTTTTTCACTTGAATGATTCTGTTTCTTTCGTCTGCATTTTCTAGTGGTATTGTGTCTTTATTACATTTTTCTTCAAGAAGTGCAATTCTGACATTACATATCTCATACAACTTTTCGTTGTCACTCTTTGATGAATATAGAACTAATTCACTTTTGATTTTGTTTGACGCGTTATTTAAATCAGTGGCGATTGTGTCGAGTGAAGTTGTAATGTTCTTCTTATATTCAAATATAGCATCAAGTCTGCCAAAGTGTCCCTCTGCATTTTCAATGCGTTGATCAATGTCAAGTGACTTGTCGTCAACAAAGTTGTATTCATTTTTGGATTTGTTGAGGTCTGACACCGCCTTTGCTGCGTTTGTGCAGAGTGTTGAGAGTGTTTTCAACTCGTTTTCCATGTATGTTTATAGAGTTTATTTGTTTTTATAATTCATTTGGTATAAATCTCATTTGAAATGATATTTATTTCTAACAAAAAAATGGAATTAATTATATTTAACTGTTATAAATCAATTTCTAACCAAATTATCACAAAATATCATTTAAGCTTAAAATTGTAGAATTTATATGTAAATTTTTGTTTTTAATTCATAGAAGTCAAAAGGCGAGAAAACCCCAAGATGGTTTGTTTTAATGGTTAAATGATATATTTCCCATTGTTTTGATTATAATATAATTAACTATAAAATAATTACTATTATCATTATACATTATTAATTATATTATTTTAGTAATAAATTATTATTCAAAACAATATTTGATAAATTATGAATAAATGTTAATAAATAAAAGTTTTAAATAATTAAAAAAAACAAAACAATTAAACCTAAAGGGGCACTTATATTTTGAATGACAGAAACAAACCCAATCACAGTTAGAATCCAACCGATCGACTCCACAATGACAGACGATGATATCCACGCTCTCTTTGATAAATATTCTCCCGTCTCATATGACAATCCACGATATGAAAAAGACACTCCATTGAATTACTGTATAATCACAATGGGAGATAAGGAAGCAGCTGACACTCTCATTAAAGAGAAGAATGGGAGTGAATGGGATGGAGTCAAGATCAAAATGTATGTTGATAAAAAAGACCCATCAAGATTAACAGTGAACTTTTTATATGGGACACTGAATAAGGATGAGAAAGACGTCAAGAAGTATTTGAAGGGATATAAAGTGAAGAGTGTCGAGAGATTAATTTCCAAAAAAGGGACATTAATGCGTAGCTATTTACATGTAGTTCTTAAAGATTTGGAGTCAGCAATACAAATGAAAAAGGACTTTGAAACCAGAGAAGAGACAAAGAAATACGAGTTGCAGTTTATTACTAAAACAGGTGAACATATCAATCAATGTTTTATATGTGGGAAATATGGACATAAGAAAGCTGATTGCCCTGAAAAAGGTAAACATGCTCCAGTCATAAAAACACGAGACATGAAAATTGCCGAACAAAAACATAAAAAATACGTTTTAAAGAAAAAGGAACAGAACAAAAATAAGAAAGGAATAAAACGAGAAAAGCAAAACACAAAGGAGTGAATGAATTGAAGCGACTATTTTATTTTAATTTTATATTTTTATTAAAAATTAATACAACTAGGTTTGATATGTTTTATTTTACTATAGTTTATAGTAAACATATTATTAAATAATTATAATAGTATTTCATTTATTGATTAGTATTTATATTATTAACTATAGATTCATTTTTTACACATTTTCTTGTTTTATTTACAGGGAAAATAAAAAACCCTTTCGTCTTTTTAACCGCTTTTTATCAATTTATTAGTTATAATTAATAACATTATAATAAAAAGTATAATACAAATTACCACCTCGGACAGAAATAGTCTCCACGATGCATATTCAACCTTCATGGTAAACAGTATTATACATTTTATTATATTAATATTATAAAAATCTATAAAATCAAGTGAAAGCGGTTAAAAAGACGAAAGCGTTTTTTAGCCCCTGTATAATTTTTTTATTAGGCAGTTTTTTTTGTTATTTGGTTTTTTTAAAAAAGACTACACGTTTTATTTTTTTAACATTTTTATCACAAAGATATTACTCAAACCAACTACCATATAAAAATACATTTAAATAAGATATTACATCGAAGATATTTTTTTTATATAAATTTTCAGGGTGTATGCAATCATGACTTTAAAAATCTCAAAATGGTTTTTTTCAAGCCGATAAAAAATTTTGGTATTCTAAAAAATAAACAAATACAACAATAAATTTGGAGATGTACTTAAAGTAATTGATTTTAATTTTTTTTAAAAGATTGTACGTTCACAATAAAGTTCATTTCAACGATGAATGTCGTGGTAATTCTATATATAAATATAAAAAATGTAATCGTAAAATACATTATTGTCTTTGTCATAATAATAAGCAATTGTGTGAACCAATAATATGAACGAAAACATTATTTTAGTTTTACAATTTTATATTTCTATAATTATTTCCCAGTCTACCACGGAAAGTTGTTATTTATAACAAATTCGAAGAAAAAGACGAAATGTTATTGACAAAATTAACTCGGTTAATACCTAAAAATGGAAGAACAGAAATTGTATATATAGCTGACACACATATTATATCGGAAAAGATGTCAAAGTTAATGAAAAATGGAGAGTACTTCTATAGAACTCTTTCAGGAAACTCATTGCCCACATTGAGAGAGAAAATGTGTCCAATAAAGTCAACTGTCAAAATCAGTGATAACCCACCTTTAAAAGACTTCATTGGATTAATTGAGAAATGCGCGACTGAGACATTCAAAGCCAAAATTTGCTTAGAAAAGCCCGTAGTGTTGTTTGATAATAACATAAAAGAAATTACACTAATAAATTGTAAAGGAAAACAAACAAAAAATTTTAAAGGGAATGAAATGAATGGACTTCCACTGATGTGGTATGACTCACTTGTTTTAGAAAAGATTATAATGAAAAAGTGTTGAAATATCTTCTTTCAAAGTAAGTCAAAACACTATAGAAAAATAACAATTTTTGATTGTACAGCCATTCAAGTGTATTACAACTTCACTCAATTTTATGAAATTTACGTCTTGAAATCAAAAGCTGTGATGTTTATTCACACGTTGAATCACATGGATGTGTCAAGAAAAGATGTCACATTTAAATGTAAAAATGTTACATTAAATAACACAAAAAGTGGTACGCCTTTACTTGTCACATCTAGAGAAATGAAGACAAATTTGATAAAATTGACAAAGAAAATGAAGTACTTATTGACCACAAACTTGAAAGTACTAAACAAGTAACTTCAGAAAATGATAAAGTAAAAACATTGCAAGTCTCTTCTTTACATCCAACAACAATCCACCGTTTGTATATTGTTAAAAGTCAATCAGTATCTACAATCGAATTTTTATTTATGGAACAAGTAGTACTTCCGTTATTTTGTTAAATCGATTTCATTGGTGGTGAGCACTTCAAACCATTTGTTTCATATTAAGCAGAGGGGATGGGTACCATTAATTTTCAATAAAAATTTCCCGAGTGGTTTCTAAAGATGTTGACCATCACAAGTAAACAAGACAGAGGACCCAAATACTGTGAATTTCCCTCTCCATTCCCTTTTGTACATTTACATAATAACAACAAAGCTATTGAAAAATCGGTGTATTAAGTGCTTCACAAATTCTTCAATATTGATGGGCGTATTATAATTGATGAAAATGGGTGTATAAAACGAATTAAAAGTGCCAACTTTGTTTTTGGAGACAAAGTTGTGTCGTTCGACTTTATGACAATTCATTTTACAGACTCGCCAATGAGGGTCTTAAACAAATCTGGTGAATTGGAGGACATTTACAATATCAGATACTATGAGGTTGAAGTCACAGGCCTTTCTACTGTGGCCATTGGCCTATTCACAAACAGTGTATTTGCATTTGAAAAAGACCAGATGGTGGGAAGGATGGAAAACACGATAGGATATCACAGTGATGATAGTAATATATATCATGGGTATAAATCTGCTATAATACATACAAACAAGACGTATGGTAATGTCATCGATGCAATCAATGTAGTTAGATGTAGTGTTCTTGTCGATAGCAAAAAACATGTTTTTCACGTTGAATGGTAATAATGTATATCGAGTGAAGAAAGAGTGGAATGTGTTTTGTGTGGCTATCACAATGAAAGAGTACAAACACATAAGCATTAACGTGGCGAAATAAAATTTAATTCTGATGTGAAAAAGATAGCAAAAGGTAAAGGATAGAAAGTCAGGAAACATGAAATTGAGAGACTTGAAGATGATATAACAAACAGTCGCAAAGAGTGTGTCGTCATGTAAATTGGATTTGTTTAACTTATTCACAAGTAAATAGTTATATTTATTAATTAATTACTATTATAATTGAATCTATAGTTATTAATATAAATACTAATCAATTAAAAAAATAGTATACTTATTTAATAATATGTTTACTATAAACAATAGTAAAATAGAACATATCAAACCTAGTTGTATTAATTCTTTATATGAATTCCTTATAAGAAATAAAGAAGGAAAAAGGCACTTAAAACCACTTCAATTCATTCACTCCTTTGTGTTTTGCTTTTCTCGTTTCACTCCTTTCTTATTTTTTTTCTGTTCCTTGTCTTCTGGAACAGATTTTTCAGATTGAGAAACGGCCTTTGTTTTTTTATGTTTTAGAACTTGTGGCACTGCTGGATCTTTTTCAGGGCAATTTTTCTTTGAGTGTCCGAGTGTCCCACATATGTAACAACGCTCTACTGCAGACCCCGTCTGCTTAAAGAACTTCAAACCGTAGTTCTTTGTTTCTTCGTTGTTTTTGAACTCTGTTTTGACCTTATTAGCCGTCTCCATATCTTTAAGAACTACATTGACAGTGTAGCCGATCAACGTCCCTTTTTTGGCAACACCTCTCTCGACACTCTTCACTTTATATCCCTTCAAATACTTCTTGACGTCATCTTCGCTCTTGTCCAGGCCTCTGAACGAAAAGTTCACTGTGGATCCCGATGGGTCTTTTCTTTCAATGGATATTTTGATCTTGACTTTATCCCATTCACTCCCATTCTTCTCTTTTATGAGAGTGTCAGCTGCTTCCTTATCTCCCATTGTGATTATACAGTAATTCAATGGAGTGTCTTTTTCATATCGTGGATTGTCATATGAGACGGGAGAGTATTTATCAAAGAGGGCGTGGATTTTTTCGTCCGCAATTGTACGGTCAATCGGTTGAATTCTAACTGTGATTGGGTCTGTTTTTGTCATTCAAAATTATTAGTGCCACTTTAGGTTTAATTATATTTTTTGAAAAAAGTAGTTTTTTTTAATTAAAATTTAATAAAAAGTATTTCTTGTGTTTTGTCTTTTAAAAATGTTTTACAAAAAATTCAAAATAATAATAATAAAATTATTAAATTATTATATTATTATTTCATTAATTGTTTAGTATTTCAATTAATAACTATGTACTTATATTTTTTTAAAATTCGCTGCATTGTATATTCACTCGACGTTGTTTTAAGTTCAAATTTGTTTATATAAAACTATTGCCTCGAAATGCTCAATTTAAGTTTTTGATTTTTGAATAAAGTTGTATCGACTGTGAGCAATTCACTTTCTAATAAATTAAAAGCGTTATATTTTTTTAAAGACCAATTCGTGTAAAAGTCTTCTTCTGCACTTTGTATCTGAAATCCTTTGTTGAGTCTCAAATAACTGTTTTGAATTTTAAAGTGATTTTGAGTCATCGAATTTGAAACGAAATCAACGATCTGGATATACGAAAATTGAATATTAACTTTAGCATATCAACTGAATCAACTTTTTTTTATGGAAAGGTGAAAATTGGATAAGTTTTATCTAAATCATATTTTATTCTTAAGGGTTTCTTGAGGATAAGGTGTATCCTCAGGATCAAAGCTATCCTTATTAAAAAATATTATTCTGAGGATACAAAAACCAAATCCATAAGGTTCAGTTCCCCATAAGGCCCACTCTCATAACTCAAGTTATAATTTACACTTAATATTTCGAGTCAAAGTTCAATTTTTAAATTATGGTAATAATTTGTCATAAATGCCAAAAGATTAAAAACAATCAAAAAATCGTTACGATAATCAGTAAACAAAAACAATAATTATATCTCGCGAACTTGAGACGGGAAATAACAAAACATGAATTAAACGTGTTCATATTATGATTATATACTTATTGAAATTATTTCCGAATCCGTCTTAATAACAAAATAATTGAAATTTACGTTTAAATTGATAATTGTTTGATAATCAAAATGAAAATTGAAAAAGTCGAAAACACTGATTTAATAAAAATGCAATTTTAAAATAACAAATTTATTAATAATTTTGTAATTTATGCAATTATTCAAATTTATTGTAATAACAAAGTTAATCATATTGTGTATATTTTAAAAAGAATATTTCATTTTGATATTAACTTGTGTTTTAAACAGATTTACAGTTCTGAGGATGGCAATTATTTTCTGAGGATGACAGAAATAGAAAGTTTACACTTTTACATCTATCTGAAATGTATATTGAGTAAGTTACTATTTTTGAACATGGGAACACGTCATTTCACTTCTTAGATGTTTAAGTCTGTGTTGATAATGTCTGTTTGTTACACGACTTACCATCCTCAGAGATATTTATGGCACTGCCACTATTGATTTAAAATTCTATAAATAAAATTATCAATGAATTTTTATAAAGTGGGTTTTGATAATTGATTATATCAAAAATCGTCAAAACACAACAAAAACGCTAAATAATATATAAAATTGATTAATAAAAGAAACACATTTCTATTGAGAATTAATATTGTATAATAAAAAAATAATATAAACATATATTTCTTGTGTGTATATGTTTTTAAAAATAAATAAACCCGTTTAAAACAAAAATGATTTTATTTTAAAAATTTGTTTATTTATCAATCGTTGTTTTATCGATATCCAAAACCTCTCTTTTTGAATTTGCGCAAATACATCAATTGTCATCGCATAGAGTATACATTATTAATACGTTATTTGCTATCAATTTTTATTGTTTGAAATATCATGAATTGATATATAATAAATTATTTTTGTAAAAAAAATTAAAAATTGTTAGATTAATTTGTTTTGTGATTTTGATTAAAAAATTGACTTTTTCGATAAATTAAATTAATTTTTATTGTTTTCATATGAACCAAGGTTAATCTTGTGGTAAATCAGAAAATAGAAATAGATTATTTTTTTGTAAAAATCAACTGAAAGAATCATCTTTCAAAAAATCCATAAATAGCATTTTTAAAGAAAATCATGTGTTTCAAAATATACCTTTTTGATCTTAGGCAAAAAAATCCAAATTGAAAGAAATTATGTTTAAGATATTTACCATCCTCAGAAAAATTAACAATCCTCATGAATCCCTTTAATATGCAAACAAATTAAGGGTCCTACATTGTTTGAATGGGTAATAAGTGTAATATTTATAAAAATATATTATTGTTTTAAATATTTAAACATTAGATTAAAAACAATAAAAATAAATATTGTCTTGAGTCTGTTTTTAAACATTGTTTATAACAAAAGTTTATCTTATGTTTTTTTTCTTGATTATATTTTCTTAAAATTTTTATTTATTAAAATGTGTTTTTATTTCAAACTTTGTTTAATAAATAAATAACACACAATTGATTATTGCATTTTTGGAGTGCAATAAATAACCAATGATTCAGTGTATTTTTTTAAATAATAATTACAATAATGACACTGTTTTCTGGATATAAATAATTATAAAAATAATTATATTTGAATGATATATTAAAATTACTTAATGAAAAAATAAAATTCTAAAAGATCAAAATATTACAAAAATTTAATTGTTTTAATATTTTAACTATTTTATAACAGGATTATTTAATTCATGTTTATTTTAATTTTACTCTTTATAATTCTAAGAAAGTTAATAACAATAGTTATAAAAAATACGGGGTATTATGTAAAGTATGTCTTCAATAATTTGTGTGTAATAAAATAATTAACTACACACAACTTGTGTAAAAATTTTACAAAACAAAAAATGACCAAATAATGATTTTGTGTTTAAAAAATTTTTTTTAGTCTACCATTTATTTTGAAATAATAAAATGACGACAGGACAAAATAATGTGGGCAATAATAACAATTCAACAAAAGTTCATTTGAATTCAACAATTAACACTTTTTAAAAAAAACAATTTTTTTAATCTATTTTTATAAATAATTATTCAATTAATAGAACTTAATTCAATATCAATTTTGTAGTTTTTAGGTCAATTTCCCGATAAAATATAACATTAAAACCATATTAAAAATGCATTTGGTGTGACTAACTTAATAAATACAACAGAAATAAACATCTTGTGATAAAACAAGTTTAAATACCGTATTCAGCTAATTTTAAGTTAAAGATGTTCTTAAAACAATTTTATTATAGGAATTTGGATAAAAATTGTTACTTTCAGATCAACCAAACACTGCTTATTAAACATATTACATAATATGCTTAAACCAAAAATCGCAATAAATTACGAACTTATAAAATTTCACTCATTTTCAAATAAAAAACGATTAATAATTAGTAATAAATTTTTATAATTATTTTAACTGTTTGTAATAATAAAAATTCAATTTAATTTGTTATAAACCCAATTAAATGTTATTATTAAAATTATCATTTCTTTGGTTTTAATTCTTTGCGTTTTTGGCCAATCTTTTTCCTTTAATTTGAATATCATGAATAGTTTTTCTTTTTTTAGTAATTGTTTTCTTAACAGCAATAATAGTATTTTTACATGAGGTGTTATTTTTTGTTGTATTCTCAACTTCTTCTTCAATTTGCATTGGAGTTTCGATTTCATAAAAAGTCATCACTCGATAAAGGTATTGTATTACATTCTTTATAAGTTTCATCGTGATCGACATAAGAAATGCCATACATGTTCAAATCCAATATCAAATCATTTTTCGTTACATCAATAAATTCTTCTTTTTTCTTTGGAATCCACGCACCCGCTTCATCTTCGTTGTGCAATTCCACGTTTTCGAAGTTGTTCTCGTGTAATAAAAACGGTTCAATGCAAATCAAAGAATTAATGAACTCACACAGTGTCAGACTTTCATTGTAAAAACTTTCGGTCAATTGTCTGATTTGCTTGTTTTTTTGGACAAAGATGCTTTTAGTTTCGTGTTTTTTCCTTCTATCATTTGTTTAATTTGAACAATAACGGAATTTTCGTTTTTAGCAAGAATTAACAACAACTTTTCAAGTGAAGGTTTCTGAGTGTTTAACTTCTTTATTAAAGAAGAGTGGAATGATTCGCTTCTATTATCCGTTCTTACATCTCTATTATACTGACTCCAATAACATATTGGGAAATTTCCATTAATCCACACTCGTTCAAAGTACTCATAAAGTTTTATTAACAACGCAAAAACATTTTCTTGAAATTTAAAAATGTTATTAAAAATTACATTTTAAAAAAGTGGTCTGATGTTATTTTCTTTAAAAATGGTATTATCATCAACCATTTCATTACCAACTTCTCATTGGTTCCTTCGATATAAAACGGTACAAGCCCAAAATTTACAATTTTGCGCCAAACACATTGGCAAAAGTGAAACATGCAACAATGGACATCACAATTAAACGACTCTAATACATTTAAAACCGCATTTTCAAAGTCACTCATTGTTGATGTCTCATTTGTAAACAACAACTTGCCAAAAATACCATGGTGTGTTTCTTGTAATACGGCAAACAAGTTGAGATAGTCTTCCATTCTTCTTCGTTTTGTTAAACAATAGTACAAAGGAAAACACTGACCATTTGGGAGTAAACAGTGTATTGTGTATAATTGACTAAACTCTTCTAAAAAGAAGCAAACGTTCCGTCCATGCACAAACAGTATATTTTTCTATTTTTCAACAATTCCATTTTCAAACGACTAGCAAAAATGACAAATTGTTTGGTTTGTCTATACAAATATTTGTCTTCTTGATGTAATATATTGTCCAACTCTCTATCAATCACAGTTTTCTTTATTCTATTTGTTTGTCTTGTAATGGTACTTTTTCTTGAATTAGCAGTGACCATATCTGGTAATAAGTCAACAATCGTGTTAGTTGATAACATAAAAATTGCTTTTTCTTCAACGTTTGTTTTTAACAAAATTTTCTTTTCGTATTTTTCAAGTGCCATGTGTTTTTGGTGGTAATGTTGAATTAAAGTTGTATTGACGAAACGAAAAGATTTAAATAACACTTTCCCGTTGATGCTTTCTTGTTCAGTGATCTGTATTTTGACTGGACAGCCTTTACTTTTGCACTTGTAAATATCACCATAATCCCAATTAAATACATAATTATCTACAACAGGCAATTCTCTATAATTGCCATTTTTTGTTTTTTTCTGGCTAGTTTGTTGCCCGAACATAAATTTTAATCGGTTTATTTAATTAGTTTTATCACAAGATGTTTATTTCTGTTGTATTTATTAAGTTAGTCACACCAAATGCATTTTTAATATGGTTTTAATGTTATATTTTATCGGGAAATTGACCTAAAAACTACAAAATTGATATTGAATTAAGTTCTATTAATTGAATAATTATTTATAAAAATAGATTAAAAAAATTGTTTTTTTTTTAAAAAGTGTTAATTGTTGAATTCAAATGAACTTTTGTTGAATTGTTATTATTGCCCACATTATTTTGTCCGGACACCTAATAAAATTACACCATTGAAAATTGAAATGTAAAATAACACATGAATATAAATATAATAACAAAATGGTTTGATATATAAACCAAAATATAACAAGTATATCCAATTCATGTTTTCTTTACTTTTACTTTTCATTTCTCTCAGTGTTTCCACAACAGTTGTTTTAAATAAACAGACATCTTACTTTGTTGCATATGTCCCCGACACATGTTACTTTAGAAACAACTTTCAAGCAGCTCAAAAAGTTGTTAAGAAACAAGGAGAAACTAAATACACTCTTCAATATGCTGTATCATGTGATGTTTCTTCGTGGTCAGATGACATCAATGCGTCTTTAGAAGAAACTGATGATGCATTTCTTGTAGGGTATTATGTTAAATACAATTTCTATAAAGATAATGATTGTACAACTAAATCTCCTGGTTATTATATAACCTCTTTAGGTTGTGTTAGTTTTACAGGACATAACATAACGATCAATTCTGATAACAAGAAAGTATACATGACTTATTATGCTGATTCAAAATGTTCAACTTCGATTGATGGTAAATCTAACATAGAAAAGAATTTTGGAGTGTGTGACAATAGTATGAGCCCTGTTAATCAATTTACTGCTCCAAACTTTTACATTCAAGAAGATTCAACATCTTTTCAGGTTTATGTCGAAGGAATATGTTACTTAGATGATGATAACAATTTCGTTGTTGTAGAAAACGACGGTTACGTTTATGCGGGAAATTCATGCCAAGAAGCATTAGCATCGACAACCAAGTTAGAAACTAAAACAGTACATAAAGTAACATCTTTTCCAGAATATTTCTTTAGAGAAGTTAGCAGTGGATCAAACGACTGTAACATTATTAGCAATTTGGCTCTTACGACTTACCCAGATAACTATTATAAAAAAGAAGGATATTGTATGTCAAACTCGGCATCTTCTGGATTCATTTTTATTACAACAAAAAACGAATTAACACATTTTTATTACACAGATGCTGCATGCAACAAGTTGGATAAAAATTACACTTATCAATACAAAACATGTGTATTAGACAATAATAAACAATACTAAACGTACTATTATAGTAAATCCACATCTGATCAAGTATACATACAACACGTTGGATATTACATATTGTATACAGTTGGTAGATGTTATGGGAATGAAGATGCAACAAATAAAGCACAAAGAATCATCACAACTGCAGACACTACAAAGCCTTTCAAATTGCAACTTGCGCTATCTTGCACTTCTGCTGAATCTGATTGGGTTGATTCGAGCAACACTGATGCTATAAATAAAGTCACACCTGAAATGGAAAATTCGTATTATCTTCAAGATCGAACCTATATTGATGCTACGACGTGCACCGGTGCTTTATATCCACTACCAGACATAATATACACGTCACTCGGGTGCATTGATATAGATGGGTCTTATTTCACTTTGAGTGTGGACGATAAAAAGGTTTATTTCAAATCATACAAAGACAAGGAATGCAAAACACTTGACACTGAAAATTACGAAGAAGACACCTTCAGAGAGTGTTCTGGGTCGGGTTCTTATAGAACAAAATACTATGGTCCAACACTGTATGCCCATCAAGAAGAAATGTATACCCAAACTTTCATCCCAAATAAGTGCTATGTAAGTCCGATAGATGATACTAAATTTGTTGAAATCAAAGACAACGAGAAGATGTACACTGCCGACACTTGTGATGATCTTAGAGCTTCAACTACGGAAGTTTCAGATTACAAAATTGAAATACTCGAGACTTTCCCTGCATACTATTACAGAGCCGTTTATTATGGAAAGAACGACTGTAACATTACAACTAATTTGGATATAACTCCATATCCAGATATGTATTTCACAAAAGATAATATGTGTATTAGTGGTGCTACTGGATACAAATTTGAGACTAATAAAACTACTTTAACTTCATACTATTTCAGTGATGGAAAGTGTGCCACTCCTAATGAAAAAAACACCAAAACTTGTCTATGCTTATCAGATTTGTGAAAAAGATATCGATGAAGATTACTACATCTATTACTATGGTAATGATACGACTATCCCAACACCAATAGCACCCGAAGCTGCATATGGGTTAATCGTTGTTATGATTTCTATGATCGTTTTTGCCTTATTCTAAGAAATTTTTCGACTCTATTTTTTTAATATTTGCCAAATGTTTTAATAAAGTCAGTCCGTTAGCCTTATTAACCCTTCGAGGACTCTAAAAACCAAAAATAATGGATTTTGTGTGATTTTGGTTATTTTTCGAGTAAATGAGACTATTATTTCTTTAATTACTCCAACTTTCTTGAGACGACTGATTTAGTAAAATTGTATAGTAAAAAATTATAAATTATAGTAAAAAATTGAATTTTTTGTTGAAGTTGGGATGAACAAAGGTTCACTTTTTGCTTGATCCTTTCAGAAACAAGTCACAGTTCGATAAAAAAGTCAGATCAAACATTTATTAAGATGACCACAATTTATTACAATAATAAAATTAATTATAAAATATAACAAAGAGCTATCTGTATCGTTAAACATACTGGTCCGGAATATTCAAAATCAATTGCATCATAAAATAACAAAGAAAAAGAAATAAAACATAGACTTTGAGGTGTATTGAAATTTCATTACGCAATTGATCTCAAAAACAATAACAAGGGAAAATAAATAGATTTTTTTTGTAAACTTTGAAAAATACAAAAATTTAAAAATTGGGTTTTGCTATTTTTTTGTAAAAGAAATAAGATAAGACGTAAAGACACTTTTGTTTGTTCAGACTTTGAAAAAAAAATCTTAAAGAAAATAAGTGTAAAATATACAAAAAATTACTAAAATACATTTTCAAAAGTATCAAAAATCGCAAAATCGAGAAAAATTTATAAAATCAACTTTAACAATAAAAGTAGTCGCATTTAAATAAACTTTGATCACCACGAGGTTTTGTGATCACTCGTTGAAATTTACGTCGTGCCACTGTCGAGGAAGCAAGATATAAATTCATTGTTTGTAATTTGAATTTTTTATCATTTTCAAACAAAAACAAAAGGCAAAACGTGTTTTATGCATTCTATTTAAAATATAAAGATTTGTATTTGGTAAATAATCGTTTATTTTGCAGCCACTGTTTATTCATTTTCGAAATATGCATTCATGGGCAACAAACAAATAATTTATAGTAAAAGTATAGAGATAATCAAAAACAAAGAAAAACACAAGTGTAAAGACAACACAAATATATTTATGACTTTAAACTGTTTTTTATAATAAAATAATTAATATATTATTAATAATTTATCATGTTATTTATAATAGTTTTATAATTATAATTGTTATAAATTATAGTAACAATAAACAGACATAATTTTGACACAATAACACATCAACAATCATATCTTTACTACAACGTGATTTCATCGAAGTGATAAGTGATCACATTGATAATATAACCATGTTGTGTAATTAAAACTATATTTTATTTTATGCATAATTATAACAAAAATGGTATAATCACCCCTTATTATAATGTTATCATTATCGAAGATACATAGTGTTTGTAATAAAGCGCGTTTTGACTGAAAACATATAGTTCAAATTTAAAACAAAACAAATAAGCATTTAATTTATATAAACATAAACACACTAGTTTAATGAATGATCAATAAAATGATTATATGTAATATAATTGATGTAGTTGTTATATAGATAACAATTTAAATTATTTGGATGTTAGAATTGATTACAAACTATATTTATAATATTATTTTACCATTAATAATATAGAGTCTAAAATAATAATATAATAATAATAAAATAATAAATTATTTTTAAAAATGACAATAATTGTAAAATAATGTTAGAGTACCGTGAAAAATCACTGCGGCGTGAAATATTACTGCGAATTGTTATTGGGCAAAAAATAATGTTATTAAGGGTTTTAAAACATTTTGGGTTTATTTTTTTGTTATTCGAGGCTGTTAAAATGAAAAACGACAATTTTGTTCTGCAAAATCTTTTGATGCTAAGTCAACAGATTGTGCTAAGAGGAAAAATGGTGTTTTTATATACTTTTTATGAGGGTTTTGTTTTTTCCTTTTCTAATTGAATAACAAAACATTTTTATATTTTTTGTTATTACAAAAAGACAAATTCTAAATTATAGTTTCACATATCCAAAAATTATTTTATCAAGTAAAAA